CAATAAGGAAAGACAGACGGCAAAAGACAACGGACAAATCAATAAGGAAAGACAGATGGCAAAAGACAACGGACAAATCAATAAGGAAAGACAGACGGCAAAAAAAGACAACGGACAAATCAATAAGGAAAGACAGATGGCAAAAGACAACGGACAAATCAATAAGGAAAGACAGACGGCAAAAAAAACGGACAAATCAATAAGGAAAGACAGACGGCAAAAACAACGGAAAAATCAACGGCAAAAGACAACGACAACAAATCAAGGAAAGACAGACGGCAAAAAGACAACGGACAAATCAATAAGGAAAGACAGATGGCAAAAAACGGACAAATCAATAAGGAAAGACAGACGGCAAAAGACAACGGACAAATCAATAAGGAAAGACAGATGGCAAAAACAACGGACAAATCAATAAGGAAAGACGGATGGCAACGACAAAAACAACAGATGGCAAAAGACAACGGACAAATCAATAAGGAAAGACAGATGGCAAAAGACAACGGACAAATCAATAAGGAAAGACAGACGGCAAAAAGACAACGGACAAATCAATAAGGAAAGACAGATGGCAAAAAAACAACGGACAAATCAATAAGGAAAGACAGATGGCAAAAAGACACAGACAAATCAATAAGGAAAGACAGATGGCAAAAGACAACAGACAAAAAGGAAAGACAGATGGCAAAAAGACAACGACAAAAAAAGACAGACGGCAAAAGACAACGGACAAATCAATAAGGAAAGACAGACGACAAAAAAGACAACGGACAAATCAATAAGGAAAGACAGATGGCAAAAAGACAACGGACAAATCAATAAGGAAAGACAGACGGCAAAAAGACAACGGACAAATCAATAAGGAAAGACAGACGGCAAAAGACAACGGACAAATCAATAAGGAAAGACAGATGACAAAAAAAAGACAACGGACAAATCAATAAGGAAAGACAGATGGCAAAAGACAACGGACAAATCAATAAGGAAAGACAGACGGCAAAAGACAACGGACAAATCAATAAGGAAAGACAGATGGCAAAAGACAACGGACAAATCAATAAGGAAAGACAGACGGCAAAAGACAACGGACAAATCAATAAGGAAAGACAGATGGCAAAAGACAACGGACAAATCAATAAGGAAAGACAGATGGCAAAAGACAACGGACAAAATCAATAAGGAAAGACAGATGGCAAAAAGACAACGGACAAATCAATAAGGAAAGACAGATGGCAAAAGACAACGGACAAATCAATAAGGAAAGACAGATGGCAAAAAGACAACGGACAAATCAATAAGGAAAGACAGACGGCAAAAAGACAACGGACAAATCAATAAGGAAAGACAGATGGCAAAAGACAAAGGACAAATCAGTAAGGAAAGACAGACGACAAAAGACAACGGACAAATCAATAAGGAAAGACAGATGGCAAAAGACAACGGACAAATCAATAAGGAAAGACAGATGGCAAAAGACAACGGACAAATCAATAAGGAAAGACAGACGGCAAAAGACAACGGACAAATCAATAAGGAAAGACAGCCGGCAAAAGACAACGGACAAATCAATAAGGAAAGACAGACGGCAAAAGACAACGGACAAATCAATAAGGAAAGACAGATGGCAAAAAGACAACGGACAAATCAATAAGGAAAGACAGATGGCAAAAGACAACGGACAAATCAATAAGGAAAACAGATGGCAAAAAAGACAATGGACAAATCAATAAGGAAAGACAACGGACAAATCAATAAGGAAAGACAGATGGCAAAAGACAACGGACAAATCAATAAGGAAAGACAGACGGCAAAAGACAACGGACAAATCAATAAGGAAAGACAGACGACAAAAAGACAACGGACAAATCAATAAGGAAAGACAGACGGCAAAAAGACAACGGACAAATAATAAGGAAAGAAGACGGCAAAGACAACAGACAAATCAATAAGGAAAGACAGACGGCAAAAGACAACGGACAAATCAATAAGGAAAAAACAAAGATGGGAAAAAGACAACGGACAAATCAATAAGGAAAGACAGATGGCAAAAGACAACGGACAAATCAATAAGGAAAAGACAGATGGCAAAAGACAACGGACAAATCAATAAGGAAAGACAGACGGCAAAAGACAACGGACAAATCAATAAGGAAAAAGAAAGATGGACAAATCAAAAAAGACAACGGACAAATCAATAAGGAAAGACAGACGAAAAAAAGACAACGGACAAATCAATAAGGAAAGATAGAAAAAGATGGCAAAAAAAGACAGATGGCAAAAGACAACGGACAAATCAATAAGGAAAGACAGATGGCAAAAAAGACAACGGACAAATCAATAAGGAAAGACAGACGGCAAAAGACAACGGACAAATCAATAAGGAAAGACAGACGGAAAAAAGACAACGGACAAATCAATAAGGAAAGACAGATGGCAAAAAGACAACGGACAAATCAATAAGGAAAGACAGATGGCAAAAAGACAACGGACAAATCAATAAGGAAAACAGATGGCAAAAAGACAACAGACAAATCAATAAGGAAAGACAGATGGCAAAAACAACAGACAAATCAATAAGGAAAGACAGATGGCAAAAGACAACGGACAAATCAATAAGGAAAGACAGATGGCAAAAGACAACGGACAAATCAATAAGGAAAGACAGACGGCAAAAAGACAACGGACAAATCAATAAGGAAAGACAGACGAAAAAGACAACGGACAAATCAATAAGGAAAGACAGACGGCAAAAGACAACGGACAAATCAATAAGGAAAGACAGATGGCAAAAAGACAACGGACAAATCAATAAGGAAAGACAGACGGCAAAAGACAACGGACAAATCAATAAGGAAAGACAGACGGCAAAAAACAACGGACAAATCAATAAGGAAAGACAGATGGCAAAAGGCAACGGAATGGCAAAAAGACAGACGACAAAAGACAACGGACAAACCAATAAGGAAAGACAGACGACAAAAGACAACGGACAAATCCATAAGGAAAGACAGACGGCAAAAACAACGGACAAATCAATAAGGAAAGACAGACGGCAAAATACAACGGACAAATCAATAAGGAAAGACAGACGGCAAAAGACAACGGACAAATCAATAAGGAAAGACAGACGGCAAAAACAACGGACAAATCAATAAGGAAAGACAGTCGGCAAAAACAACGGACAAATCAATAAGGAAAGACAGACGGCAAAAGACAACGGACAAATCAATAAGGAAAGACAGATGGCAAAAACAACGGACAAATCAATAAGGAAAAAGACAGACGGCAAAAAGACAACGGACAAATCAATAAGGAAAGACAGACGGCAAAAACAACGGACAAAATCAATAAGGAAAGACAGACGGCAAAATACAACGGACAAATCAATAAGGAAAGACAGATGGCAAAAGACAATGGACAAATCAATAAGGAAAGACAGACGGCAAAAATACAACGGACAAACAAATCAATAAGGAAAGACAGAGACGGCAAAAGACAACGGACAAATCAATAAGGAAAGACAGACGGCAAAAAAGACAACGGACAAATCAATAAGGAAAGACAGATGGCAAAAGACAACGGACAAATCAATAAGGAAAGACAGATGGTAAAAAAAGACAACGGACAAATCAATAAGGAAAGACAGACGGCAAAATACAACGGACAAATCAATAAGGAAAGACAGACGGCAAAATACAACGGACAAATCAATAAGGAAAGACAGAGGGCAAAAGACAACGGACAAATCAATAAGGAAAGACAGATGGCAAAAGACAACGGACAAATCAATAAGGAAAGACAGACGGCAAAAGACAACGGACAAATCAATAAGGAAAGACAGACGGCAAAAGACAACGGACAAATCAATAAGGAAAGACAGACGGCAAAAGACAACGGACAAATCAATAAGGAAAGACAGAAGGCAAAAGACAACGGACAAATCAATAAGGAAAGACAGATGGCAAAAGACAACGGACAAATCAATAAGGAAAGACAGACGGCAAAAGACAACGGACAAATCAATAAGGAAAGACAGACGGCAAAATACAACGGACAAATCAATAAGGAAAGACAGACGGCAAAATACAACGGACAAATCAATAAGGAAAGACAGACGGCAAAAGACAACGGACAAATCAATAAGGAACGACAGACGGCAAAATACAACGGACAAATCAATAAGGAAAGACAGACGGCAAAAACAACGGACAAATCAATAAGGAAAGACAGACGGCAAAAGACAACGGACAAATCAATAAGGAAAGACAGACGGCAAAAGACAACGGACAAATCAATAAGGAAAGACAGACGGCAAAAACAACGGACAAATCAATAAGGAAAGACAGACGGCAAAAGACAACGGACAAATCAATAAGGAAAGACAGACGGCAAAAGACAACGGACAAATCAATAAGGAAAGACAGACGGCAAAAGACAACGGACAAATCAATAAGGAAAGACAGACGGCAAAATACAACGGACAAATCAATAAGGAAAGACAGACGGCAAAATACAACGGACAAATCAATAAGGAAAGACAGACGGCAAAAGACAACGGACAAATCAATAAGGAAAGACAGACGGCAAAAGACAACGGACAAATCAATAAGGAAAGACAGACGGCAAAAAACAACGGACAAATCAATAAGGAATGACAGACGGCAAAAAGACAACGGACAAATCAATAAGGAAAGACAGACGGCAAAAAACAACGGACAAATCAATAAGGAAAGACAGAGGGCAAAAAAGACAACGGACAAATCAATAAGGAAAAGACAGACGACAAAAAGACAACGGGACAAACCAATAAGGAAAGACAGACGACAAAAAGACAACGGACAAATCAATAAGGAAAGACAGACGGCAAAAGACAACGGACAAATCAATAAGGAAAAGACAGACGGCAAAAAACAACGGACAAATCAATAAGGAAAGACAGACGGCAAAAGACAACGGACAAATCAATAAGGAAAGGCAGACGACAAAAAAAAAACGGAAAATCAATAAGGAAAGACAGACGGCAAAATACAACGGACAAACCAGTAAGGAAAGACAGACGGCAAAAGACAACGGACAAAGCAATAAAGTAAAGACAGACGGCGGACAAAAAAAGACAACGGAAAATCAATAAGGAAAGACCGACGACAAAAGACAACGGACAAATCAATAAGGAAAGACAGACGGAAAAAGACAACGGACAAATCAATAAGGAAAGACAGACGGCAAAAGACAACGGACAAATCAATAAGGAAAGACAGACGGCTAAAGACAACGGACAAATCAATAAGGAAAGACAGACGGCAAAAGACAACGGACAAATCAATAAGGAAAGACAGACGACAAAAGACAACGGACAAATCAATAAGGAAAGACAGACGGCAAAAGACAACGGACAAATCAATAAGGAAAGACAGACGGAAAAAGACAACGGAAAAATCAATAAGGAAAGACGGACGGCAAAAGACAACGGACAAATCAATAAGGAAAGACGGATGGCAAAATACAACGGACAAATCAATAAGGAAAGACAGACGGCAAAAGACAACGGACAAATCAATAAGGAAAGACAGACGGCAAAAGACAACGGACAAATCAATAAGGAAAAACAGATGGCAAAAGACAACGGACAAATCAATAAGGAAAGACAGACGACAAAAGACAACGGACAAATCAATAAGGAAAGACAGACAGCAAAAGACAACGGCCAAATCAATACGGAAAGACAGACGGCAAAAAACAACGGCCAAATCAATAAGGAAAGACAGACGGCAAAAGACAACGGACAAATCAATAAGGAAAGACAGACGGCAAAAGACAACGGACAAATCAATAAGGAAAGACATACGACAAAAGACAACGGAGAAATCAATAAGGAAAGACAGATGGCAAAAGACAAACGAACAAATCAATAAGGAAAGACAGATGGCAAAAAGACAACGGACAAATCAATAAGGAAAGACAGACGATCAAAAAAAAGACAACGGACAAATCAATAAGGAAAGACAGACGTCAAAAAGACAACGGACAAATCAATAAGGAAAGACAGATGGCTAAGACAACGGACAAATCAATAAGGAAAGACAGACGGCAAAAGACAACGGACAAATCAATAAGGAAAGACAGATGGCAAAAGACAACGGACAAATCAATAAGGAAAGACAGACGGCAAAAGACAACGGACAAATCAATAAGGAAAGACAGACGGCAAAAGACAACGGACAAATCAATAAGGAAAGACAGACGGCAAAATACAACGGACAAATCAATAAGGAAAGACCGATGGCAAAAGACAACGGACAAATCAATAAGGAAAGACAGACGGCAAAAAAAGACAACGGACAAATCAATAAGGAAAGACAGACGGCAAAAAAGACAACGGACAAATCAATAAGGAAAGACAGACGGCAAAAAACAACGGACAAATCAATAAGGAAAGACAGATGGCAAAAGACAACGGACAAATCAATAAGGGAAAGACAGACGACAAAAAGACAACGGACAAATCAATAAGGAAAGACAGACGGCAAAATACAACGGACAAATCAGTAAGGAAAGACAGACGGCAAAAGACAACGGACAAACCAATAAGTAAAGACAGACGGCAAAAGACAACGGAAAATCAACAAGGAAAGACCGACGACAAAAGACAACGGACAAATCAATAAGGAAAGACAGACGGCAAAAGACAACGGACAAATCAATAAGGAAAGACAGACGGCAAAAGACAACGGACAAATCAATAAGGAAAGACAGACGGCAAAAGACAACGGACAAATCAATAAGGAAAGACATACGACAAAAGACAACGGACAAATCAATAAGGAAAGACAGACGGCAAAATACAACGGACAAATCAATAAGGAAAGACAGACGGCAAAAGACAACGGACAAATCAATGAGCAAAGATAGACGGCAAAAGACAACGGACAAATCAATAAGCAAAGACAGACGGCAAAAGACAACGGACAAATCAATAAGCAAAGACAGACGGCAAAAGACAACGGACAAATCAATAAGGAAAGACAGACGGCAAAAGACAACGGCCAAATCAATAAGGAAAGACAGACGGCAAAATACAACAACAGTTCACTACGCTCGGCTTAAAAGAACTTCTCGTATTCATTCACCAATCTTCTTCATCAAGCTACGTGGCATTAACATTTTCCGCCTCATTTCTCATACATCGAAGAAATCACATTAATTTTTATCTTAACAAACAACTACAAACAAGGACCGTAAGAAATTTAACATTCAAACACGCTCTTATCAAATAACGGTGCGATGTGTAAATTGTCGCCATTTTATATTTTTCAATTCGTGCATGCGCCTTGTGTGTTTTCTATCTTGTTTACTGCACAGTATAGTAGGGTCAGTTTGGCACGGTTTGTGAGAAAAACTGCACCATGATCCAATTCACTCCGCCACATATTTGGAAATGGCACGCTGCCCTGCTTAGCATTCGCGCCGGAAGTTCCAATACGAACAGATAGAACAACCGTTGGCTTACTGTGTCTCCAAATGTTGTACCTAGTTTGATGAAAACTAAATATCTAGTCAACGTCAGGGTGATTAGAGTGATTACAAGTGATAGCGACGTTATACCTCCATCCATCTTCACACAGGACCTAAGACTCAAGATGGAGGCCTGAATCAATGCCTTGAGGAGGAAGTGCTTCCCTGGGTCAAGAGTATGGATGCTGGAAAGCCTATGTCTGGCAACAGGACTGTGCACTATGCCACACAACGAGGAGACTGTCAGAAGATTTCTGCGACTACACACCCTTTACATCTGGCCTCCTAACTCCCTGGACTGCAACCCCCTTGAATATTATGTGTAGGATGCACTTGAACGAGAGGCCAACAATTCTCCTTGTAACACCAAAGATGAACTGAAGTAAGGTTTATGCCACCATTCACCAACTTAAACAAGTAGGTCGTCCAGATGAGTTGCAGTTGATTCTGAAGTTTTCTGGAGGCCGTGGTTGTAGCCAATGACGATTTTATTGAATAAATTTACGTTTTATTATTTCAAGATATTTTTGTGTAATTGTAGTAAAAATATATGTTCAAATGAGATGTCAGTTTTATTTTCATTTCTGCGTAATTTAGACAACAATTTATCCTTTGCATCATATAAATAGAAATTTAGAGATAGGTCTAGGTAGGCATGAATAGATTGCAATCTATAGATAGACATGAGTAGATTGATATCAATAGGTAGAAACACTATTATCCATTAGATACTAACGATATCTCATGGTAGGTGAGACAAAGAAAACGTGATTATTAATTTATTTTATTTAAGTTTTATTTCACCGTCATACACAGATATAATCAATTGATGGGAATTAATCAGTTGATATTTTTACTTTTCTTTCATTTTGTGTTCTTGATTTCCCCTGTAATTTTATTGCACACTCAGGGTACGGGCTGTCCAGAATGAATTGGAAAGCAATGTATTACATTTATGTATGCATATGTGTGTGTGTTTGTGTGTGCATTCTTGTCGGGTACATTATATAGCACAAGCATATCTAGATCTCTCACACATGATAACAACTTAAAAAAGAGAACATCCAGAAGAGTTGCAGGAGATTCCAAATTTGTCTGGAAGTCGTAGTTGAATCCAATGGCGGTGTTATTGAATAAATTTATTCTTTATTATTTCAAGACATATTTGTGTAATTTTGGTAAATATATCTGTTAGAATGAGACGTCATTGTTATTTTCATTTTTGCGTAATTCAGATGGCAATTTACTCATCGCACACTGTATATTGATAATATGGGTTTTATGAGTCAATTGAGTTTCTTTTACAAAGGAAGAAATTCCAAAATAAATACTTATTTATAAATAAATCAAAGAATAAGTAAATACAAAATATATGCGGAAAAATAGCGTTACAAAATGTGAAGGTGCTACAGGAATTAAATCCTATATATATATATATATATATATATATATATATATATATATATATATATATATATTTCTCAACCAATAAAATCCTGTCACTTGGTTTGTTTGATAAACAATATTCGCTAGGGCAAATACTGACAAAATTCTTACGGACGTAGTTGTGGATTTGCCATGTGTCATTTTTGGACCATTTATAAAATAACAATAATAACTCTCTTCACCATTCCCGCAAAATCGAGAAAAAGATTTTCACGTGCCAGTGTAAAATTTTCTTCTAATCTACACGCCCATATGCATGTACCAAGAGACACGCACACAATACAAGAGATGACAGCCAGCAGCCAACGACTAAGGCCTTGTTCATGTACTCAATAGAAGGGATTAAGCAGCAGCAAACAAGTAAGCCTTTGTTTATGCACTCATGAACACATTAATACAAGTCTGTTCACACATTTCCCACCGAACTACGAACACTTAATACTTGAGAAAACAAACTTCACTGCAAGGAAAATTGAATATTTTATTGTGATTGTATATTTCTGCAAAGAATGTATAAAGTTTATTTCAACTGACGTTCTGTTTCTACTTTTCCTCCAGAAAATAGCATTTTATATGATTCATTAAAAGAATTAATGTTGATGTTATTAAATGTTTGGAATCCTGACACTCAGAAAGCAACAAAAAAAAAAAAACCTAAGTAGACGGATACCAACAGTGCATTGTTTTGCATGAACCCATTCGTTAGCATAATGCGTCTTAGTTGAGATGTAACGCTCAACAAAATATATTCTCCAAGAAATTACACTAATTCTCTTGATACTAGCATCAATGTTGAAGGCCCGTATAATCAGATTCATCAAATGTAACTCTGCATCCATCATTAAACATTACTGCTGAGAAATCAGTTTTAATGAGCATCTTTGCCCAACTTAGACGAGTTTTGTTTTGATAATTCCTTTATTGTTGTAGTTTGTTTATTTTCAACCAATGTCAGAGCAGCCGGCGTGGCGTAATATTTTACCAAGCATGTCTTGATCAATTATGACTGAATAGTGAATCAGTTATGTGCCATGTTTAGGCGATCATGTATCTTTTGATACATGACAGATGAGGCAGATTTTTTCCTGACGAGAGAAGAAGAGGATTCATACCTTTCCCAAGGGTATTAGCACGTAAGTGAATGTAATGGATTCGACTGGAATTCGAACTCGGCTCTCCGATTCCTCAATCCGAACCGCTATCTATTAATTCACCGTATGGGATGCCCCATACTTTTGGATATACGCCACATATACACCACATCTAAGCCCCACTTAGAAAATCGGTATATTTTCAGCCGATGTTCTTAATATTCAGCGTTTTTTTCTTTCTCTAGTTACATTCCCAGCACCAACGCCATTTTCTGTCATTCGATCTACTTTTCTTTTATGAAATTCTGTAAGACATAGTTTTGTGTTCTTACCGTGAAAATATTTTAAATTTATTTTTGATTGTTTAGTCATTTTTTCAATTTTTCCGCGATTTTCAACGTTGTATCTGTATCACTCAATGACATCACAGTATCTTGTTTCTTGCTTGTGTTTATATCTTCGTATGGTCAATGGCGAACTTTACATAGCTGAAATTTTAAAAAAAAGAATAGCTATAATATATATTGTTGTTAACTCTATGATGAACAACACTTAAGTTATACAGAGTATCCATAAAGTCATTTTACAATTTTAAAAAATGATTATAAAAGCAAATAAAGAAACACATATGTGGAAATTGTTACAAAATGAGGGGTAGATAATGAAGTTTTTTTTTAATTTAATAAATTAAAACAAATTAATATGGGCACCATTAGCTGCATGAAATACATCAAGACGTTACTCGATTTCTTGCCATTTTCGCTGTAGCATAGCGTCATCATTGATGGTAATGG